AAAATTGTTTGCTTATAAATAAAGTCTATTTCGCATATAATAAAAATTAATAAAATAAAATAATACTTAAATTTAAAAATAAAATAATGTGAAATGGGTATAAAGCTATATTTAATAGGTTTTAGGGTATAAATAAGAATAGAATAAGTATAAAACTATTGAGTTATTTTCCTGAAATACTTAAATCCAACAATCATTAATCTCAATTGCATTCATATTTTGACAGTTATTGAAACACCCAAAAGTTCTTCCTTAATAACGAATTTCAAACAAAATAAGTTCGTTTAGCAAAAATTAATCAGCTTAAAATGAAAAGTTTCTAAAGTGAGAGGCAGAGAGTGGGAGGGGCGGAAGGAGATCGCGGCTAACCAGAAGTCAGCATCTGTCAAACTCGCTAAAGCAACTGCTGAATTGTAGACAGGCTGCACGCAAGCCACGCCTCCAAAAATACACACATAGTCACACACGCACACACACGCACACACACGCACACACGAACCCACACTTGAAAATACACAGAGAGACGGATACATTTAGTTAGATGGAAGTTAGCCGCGCTGCCAGCTGACGTTCTACACGCTCCATTTGGACTTTGGCAAACTTTGTTTGCGTTCTGGGCCGCCGCTTGGCATTGCCGTTGGAGCACACGCTGCATGCGAATGGGAGAGGGCGGGGGAACAGAGGAACAGCGGAACAGCGGAACAGAGGAGTAGATATAGAGTGGGGCCCACTTGGCCCTAAAGTAGTTGCTGATATCGGCTTTCAGCGCGCATATTTCTTTGGTTACTTTTGCCCAGTCGCTTTTCGTGCTATTTAAACACTGAGAAATCGTTGCGGCCATTTGCGTATGCGATTGCAAACAGAATGCCGGAAGCAGTCAGCCAAGCAAGTCACATAAGAAGTGGCTTGAGCTTCGCAGAACCAAATTACTCATACGTCGCACGGGACAGTGGACTGCCGGGAGGTGGTGGTGGGCGTGGCGGATGCGGCCATTTAATACGTGCGCTACTTTTGTAATTGAATATGATAAATCAAACCTAAAAGTTACTCCATGTCGACTGCGGACGGAAGTGGTCGAGCCGCGCTATCTGGCCTTGTTTTTGAACTTCCCAGAGGGACGCAGGGCGGAGCGAGGGCTACTCTGCACTTTGTTGGCATATTGAGTTACATACTGTGCAAATGTATTCATTTACTTTCTGATTCCAGCAACTCAATTGTATTAGATTTGATGGTTGGCCACGCTGCTGTTTTTGTTTTCGCCACACAATTCAAAATGAAATAAATCTCAATATTTGTGTGTTGGCCAAAATCAAATTACATTAAATTCCATCTAAAGGCTAAGCTCAAAAAAAAAAAAAAAAAAAAAAAAAAAAACAGAAACACAAGAAGCGAAGGCAAAATAAGGAAAAATCAAAAAAGCAGCTGGCATAATATTATGAGTTATGCCGGGCCGTAGGCGTGGCTCGATTTGTAACCTCGTTTAGGAGGTAAGGGGCGGAGGCGGTGGCGAGGCGTGGCTGTGGCGCTGACCATGGAACCAACATTAAAATTCATGAACACATTTATTGCCAATTACCACAGGGCCTGCGGCACGTTTTATATAGAGAGCAGAAGCTAACGGCAGCTCTGTCTCTCCCACACACACACACACACTCGTCCTCTGCACTTGCAACACGCTCTCTGTCCAATTCTCTGATTTGGCAGCAAATGTTGCGGCCGATTCAAGCTTTTTTTTTTCTGCTTTTGACCATTTTGTTGCCTTTTATTCGATTTTGCGCTTGCTCGTCGGCATCGTTTTTTTTCCTTTTTTTGCACACACAAATTGATAAATTAGATTTACGCTCGAGAAATTATATTACAACATAATATATTTTCAGCCTGTAGATTTGTGTTTTGTTATTGTATTTGGCCGCCCAGCGCTGCTCTTGCCTTTCTTTAATGGCCAAGCGATTTTAAAGCGAATATTTTAGTATTGCAGTTTTCTTGTTCTTTTTTTTTTTTTTTTTTTTTTTTTTTTTGTTTTAAATATTTATGCTTTCACGGCGTGCTCTGGGTGTATGAGTGTCGGCTCAGTTACAAGCGAAAAAAATAAAAAATAAAAAATATTGT